GAAGAAAGACGACTACGAGTCGAATATCTTTTTCCAGGATGAGAGAAGAGGGGTTGAGGTGCGCCAATGGCGCGACGTGATCCCTGTTCGAACCTTATGGACACCGTGTCCGTATCCCGACATCTCAACTTCCGGGAAAAGTGGTATTATTACCAATCGCCTCGACGAGGTAGCAGCAGTTGGAGGCTGCCAACAGGGCGACTGTCATGGGCTAGTATTTACGTCGGTTCTTGACCTTCGTGTAGAATACGGCTTTTGCTCGGCGGATCCCGCTACTGAAAGAAAGACGCGATCACTCGATCGTTAGGCGTCTTCGTAATCGGACCCCCGGCCACTATACAAGCTGAGCATGACCAGCAGAAAGCTCTCCGAGCTCGCTTTTTGCTACCGCAAAATATCTTAATTGACAGGTACCGCGCTCGACTTTAAGCTCAAAGAGGAGAAGCTCCTGTACCCGCAATGCGGGCTATTCCTGTGGTGCTAGTCCCTGGCGAGACCGCTGCAGATGATGAAGAGCTCTTTGAGCGATGGGTGCAGCGGCACCGATATATTTCCCGCTGTCTTATTTGCAGCGAAGACACAAGAAAGTGTGCATGCGCGTAGGGAGCCATCTTTGACTTGAGTTCACCAAATTCAAGGCGCAACGCCGAAACTTTCGTATTGTCGCCCTGAGACATACGGAATACCCCATCACGCTTCCGCGAGCTCTGTGGTTTCTCACACGGGTGAGTCTCCGCCCACAGCAGCTCAGAGCCATAGCTTGAGCTCAGCTTATGACCCTTCCGCTTCCCAGACTACTGCCGAGTAGCGCAGAAGCGCGGGGCTTAAGACGACGCGGAGCGTCATGATCCTTCTGATCATAAGCATCCATGATGTCTGGGCAGTCTTGCCAAAGTGACGCTTTTAACTCCCATGAGCTACTGGATGTGACCGTGTCGACGACGTCGACACACAAGGCATTTCACGGGATAGTGAACGTCTCCGTTTTCATCGAGAAAAGTTGGTGGCGGACGATGACGACTCGGTCGAACTCCGTCCGGTGACTCGCGATGCTCTTCGAGCTTTGGAGAACAAAGTCCGTCGTCATCGGCATTTTGCCGAGTGGAAGACTTCGAGGGCCTGGATCACTTTGTGCACCAACTGCCTCACGTTGAGGATTATCGCGCTATGTTAAGGCGGCTTCTAGCTGTTGATCAGACAAATACGGCACTTTGTGCTACCGTGGAGCTCCTTGCGCCGTTGGAAACGGAAATTGTTGCACTCCGTGCTCAAAACCAGTTGCTGATTTAGCTTCTGGGTGGCCGAGAGCCTTTGAGCGCAGCATCGGCGCCAACGATTTCGCGTTCACTTGCGCCAGATCCCGATCTGGCGTCAGCAAGCCCACATAAACACCGGGTGATTGCGTATCCTTCTCGGAAGGGTTAGCGTATACGCAAGGCTAGCTTGGTCACTACCTCAAGAGAAAACGGAGCTTCGTCTTAATGACAGCAGAGACTGCAGCTTTAGAAAGTTTTTTGCATAAAAAAAACTAATGTTTTCAACATTTCTTCTGTTCATCCGTCTGCATATTCTTCCACCATGTTTTGGCTTTCACCATCGTATTGCGAATGTGTCGTAAGACACTCAGTCTGGTAGACAGTAATTCATCAACTTCTTTACGGACAGTGAGAAGCGTTGACATCAGCTAGCCGTTTGGCTATTCTTCCCCACCAAGCCCTGAGCCATGGGATGGCGCAAGGATTGAAAAGCCCGTTTACGTAGAGCTGCGTGTAGCCGGTAAACGCATGCACTGCATTGTTACTCTCGTGATGCTCGCCGAGCCCTTCGGCAGGCCGAACCCAAAGTCCATCCTCATTAACTGCCAACATCCAGAGGGTACGGGTAAAGTGGCCAGCGGTGCCACCGCATTCGGGGAGGGTTTCACCCTCTGACACGTCTCACATGCGCGCATATGTGCTCGTCCATTTGTAAAGCTTGGCCACCAGAAGTAGCAACTCACAGAGCTGCACGTCTTTCCACGACTGAGATGACCACTAAGTGGGGTATCGTGGGCCTCAAAGAGAATTATTAAAATGGTCATCGTGAGGAACCACAATTCGTCAAATCGGCGCTATTATACAGCAACCCGTTTATCACGAAGATCGGTGCAGCCGTGCGCGCAATCGCGACGCCAACTTCTTGTCCTAATATCCAAAGTCCTTGCTCCCGGGAGGCTGTAGCAGCGCTACACACATACGGCCACCCGAGTATGCGGCGAGGATCAAATCCGTCACAGACGACGTCACCGTCGTGACATAAGCAAGCTCATAACCGGTCTGCGTGACAGCGCATCAGCCAAAGCATTCTGCTTTCCTGGCTTATACTTCACCTAGAAGTTATATTCTACAAGGAATAAAAGCCACCTGGACATCCTCTGCGACAGGTGAGGCGACTGAGTCGCAGTGCGTAGTGACGCATGATCTGTGTGGATCACCAACGGTTTCGAGCCAAACAGGTGCACCTTGAACTTGACAAGTGCATACTTCATCGAAAGTAATTCCTTGTGGTGGACTAGATCGTTTTTCTCCACAGCCTCGAGCTGGCGAGATTCGTACGCGATCACCAGATCTCGCCCCTCAGCGTTTGCATGCAGCAGTACACAGCCAATGGCAAAGTACGAAACGTCACAGACGACACTAAAAGGACGATCGGGGTCTGACAACGCCAGCATTGGTGCATGCAGAAGGCTGTCTTTGAGCCTGTCAAAAGCCTTTCGATGGTTGGTGTCCCAACACCATTTCGTATCTTTCTTAAGGAGATTAAATCGCGCTATACATGTGAATGTAGTTGGCGAGGCCAAGCCACTTGCGCAAAACCTTTCGGTTCTTGAAACCGGCCAGTCCACAATGGCCTTAACCTTAGCGGGGTCCGATCACAGGCCACGCTTCCCAATGAAGCACCTACACGTTTCTTTTATTGTACGCGTGAACGATACGCCACTTGCCGTTCGGCTTTCGGACACAAAATTTGGGTGTTGGATGGGGAGATTTACTTTCACGCACCATTGCTGCGTCGTGCTTCGCACTGAAAAAGCATCAATAACATCACACTGCTCCATGGGCAGAAGCCATCGGCGTGTAACGCAATCTTTGGTTCCCGATGTCAGGTCAATCTCATGACACACACCTCGGTCCGGGGATAGGACCGACGGCGGGTCTTTAGGGACGACGTCTTAAGTTCCTTTACCAAAGGATAGTACGGATCCGAATGATCCTTCAGGATCGATAATCCACTTCGTGCGTTCAGCACCCTCTTGGTGTCCTCCACGACAGCTTTATCCAAAAGCGACGACGAGTTGATCTCCTCGTCCGGTCGTATAATGACCACGTCGGCTAAATCGCCTGTGTTCTAAGGAACCGTCAAACGCTTCGAAGGGCGCCTTGTCCAGCTCGAAAAGAGCAACCACCGCGGGAATAGCCTTGAGGGTGACGTCACCTTCTTCCTCTTCTGTCATACCGCTAACAAGGGTGTATAGCTGTGTTCTATCGGCTACGATAGATACAGCCTGAGTCAGGGTCGACGCCCTGGGTCTTGCAGATAACATCCATCATCGCCGTTTCTGAGGTTTTACGTCTCTTCGAGACCAGTTGGAACACGCACACAGAGTCGTCCAGTGTCCCCACTCCCTGCTCCATCGGGGTCTTGTTGTTATAAATATCATCTGACGAAGAGCTGCTACTTCCGCTGTCTTCGTCCAGTGGGTCACATGCCACTCTACGCGCATTAGAAGGGCCTTGCCCAAGTTTCCTCGGAACTCGTCCGACCATGCCACTCTTGACATAAGCTACTGCTTCAAAACGTGAGCAGTGGATTATGTGTCGCTCCACGCATCACTGGGGCCTCGTCCTCGATACCTCCGCCCTTGGCCGACCATGCCACTCTTGGCATGCAGCAACTGTTTTGATACTTGAGCGGTGCTCAATGAGTTACGGGCCACTCCACGTCCAGCCAACAAGCCATGCTCGGGGCTCTTGTCCGATAAACCTTCGCTGTTCGACAACTCGGCTACAC